GCTATAACAACAATAATGACACCTCACCTATTATCTTTCAAAACCAACCCATCATAAATCTACTGCCCAAACAAACCTTTAAATTCCTCAGAATATATATCGATCATACTATTAACAATCGACATGCAATTAAAACTATCAGGAAAGAATTCTGTAAAGACTTAAACAAACTAAATCATGCAAAAATTACCAAAAAACAAGCTATATACATCATTAATACGGTGCTACTCTCTCAGCTGCGTTACTGGCTCACTAACACATTCCTGCCCCTATAAATACCCAATACCTTATAAGACGTTATACTACAATGATTAAATACAAAGCGAAATTATCTCAGGGGGTACCAAACTCCCTTCTCTTTTATCTACATACTTATGCATTATTGAATGTATATCAACTACAACAATTCCACCAAGCCTTCATATTGGAGAATATGCTCAACTCGCCAGTATCACCAACCACTTTTAATATTTAACTATAACAATTACAAAACGATATGCTATCCAACATATCCATACTATCAAAACTACTACAATTTACCCATGCAGAACTGAAGATCTTCACAGGCCATCTCATAATTAACTTATACAAGTTACAGTTAACTTTTATACGCTTACCCAACCCATATCCAATACCACTTTTGACACCAGGAACAACAATTAATACTATTCTAACGAACATGAAAAATAACATCCAAATAAAGACAAACTTCGCCAATACAACATCTATGCTATAGAACAATTCACAAATCATGATAACTCTGAAGTCTTAGATTGGAAAAGCTTTTATCACAATATAAGAAAAATTCCAAGAGGATGAACTCCTAAGTGGTTTAAAATAATTACACAAGCAATAAGCAAAGTGACCTCACTGACCTTTATACTCATAAACTCTAATCTATTTACATGGACACTAGCAAATAATTCCTCAAAATGGATAATTACATCCCACCAAGTATTTGGAAAAATAACTTTCTCTAGAGACAACTTATTCAAAATCCAACACTGGAACTTAAACTCCGCAACTAACACCCTCACCTCATGTAATCACTGCCTCCTTCATAACCGTACAATGAACAACATCTGGTGCTCACTGTGGAACCCAAAACATGCTACTTTCCAGATTCAAGTTTCATCAAAACACGTTTGGCATGGAAACTCAACCAACTTATTGACTCCACCACTAAACAGAAAAATTAGTGCTCAACTATATTGTTACATACCTCGTAATCACTCATACTCATTTCAAATAGCTCAGACCTTCAATCAACATGCAGAGGACATATAGAAAACATACCTATCTATACCCAATAAAATGGAATTCAGAACACAACTAATCGTCAAACCCTCTAAGGACACCCCACCTAAGCCAACAGCTACAATTTCACTAAATAATGATTATACAATACAAAACAATTTTTGGCCAAGTCCCACCAAGATCACTATAATTGAATTATACAGTACATGTTAATTACTATTATGCCCCATCACACACAAATACAACTAAATACAAATTCAACTATCTTACTCAAAATTCTACCAACTATTCTAGATACCTCTCCAATAATACTCTACACAATCTGTAAAGATCATAACATAGGATACATAACTGCTATTAGAGCTGCAATCCTCGCCAAAGATATATCTATTATAAACACTTATATCTGAACAAACAGTACAACAATAACACAAACCTCTATTAGAAAACTCGAAATAGACCCATCAATACTTCGCCACAACATATACCTCCTCAGATTTAATTACCAGTTAATATTCGACAATATAAAACTGACTATTAAAAATTTACATACTGCAACAAATATCAACAATTGGTTTACACAAAACCATATCCAACACTGGTACACAATTACATCAAAAATACAATGGCAACCTATCTTCCAATATCTGAGACATGACGATAAACCTCGCACAAGACACACTGACCCTAAATTATCCCAAATTAAAAACTTCAAATTCAAAATCCTAATAAACGAATTACCAAATCAACTAAATTTATTCAAATGGTATCCAAATACTCATACATAACCAAGTTGTAAATGATGCAATAATACAACTGAAACAGATCAGCATTGGCTTACCTGCCAATATAATAGGACAACACTTTAAACAATAATTACGGATAAACTAACACAGCTAAAATCTAAACATAATATCAATTTTATCAATACTAACCAATTTATTTAGAATTTTATTAGTATCTACATTAACAAACAACTACCTTTAGGGGTTATTACTGAAGAAACACTAGTACCTACTTGAAATCATAAGACCGCAGTAAACCTCTTACCAGAATTCTATCATATGATAATCAAAGAAGTACACGGATCTATCTGGGCCCCCAGTCAAATCCCATCTATAGTCAATAATACAACCTAGTCCCTGATAACAAATGTAGTAATTCTGGAAAATCCAATCCAACTTACAACAGAAGAAAAAGCTCTACGAAGTAAAATTACTTTCTGAAAACATAAATATATCACCCATAACACTTCTCCACATGACATACTTGATTCATAGTCTAGAGGTCTTTGACCTACCTAGCTAAGGTTAAGGTCTAAAGTAAATTAGCTTATTCTCCACTTCCCTCAAAAATTTATGTAAACTTACTATGTAAGCATAATGAATAATAAAGGAACTGAGGAAAAGACCTCACTTAAAAAAAAAAATAAAAAAATAAGACAAAACCCAGCTAACCAAAAAAAAAAGTTATATTTATAGCTGCTTTTATTATATTTGAAACATTTTAAAAATTTTTTAATAGCTGAATCAAGTTGGAATCAATAAGTTACTGATGTAAACTGACATTAAAAACTTTATTGATTTGATTATCAACAATTTTTTTAACAATTTTTCAAATGTTCCAAAACTAATGAAAATAGCTATAAAAGTTTTTTAATATAAATAATTTTATAAATATTTTTTTTACACAAGAATAAAAAAAAATTTTATAGAAAAAGGGGTTGACTTTTCTAAAAAAGTTACCTGGCTAGGTAACGAGAAACAATTTTATATTTGGTTGCATGGCTTAATTAATATATTATCATAAATTTTTTATAACTAATATATATATATATATATATTAGGAGTCTGCAAATGCCCATGCCCGGCACATTGGCACCAGTGCCTTATGCCGTGCCTATAGGAACAAAAGTGCCAAGCAAAGTGCCAGGCACAATTATGATAAATATCCTTTGTTGGGCACAGGCACGAGCCCGACTTGCAAACCCCAATATATATATATATAGTATATATATATTAATAAATATATATTAATAAATATGTTATTAAATTTTATATATATATATATATATAGTCAGTGTTGTACATGGACATATGTCCAAGCAAATTATTGGACATGGACAGTCCATGGACACAATGTCCAATGTCCATGTCCATGGACATGGACATATTTTTATATGTTCATGGATATGAACATCTATATTTTTATATGTCCATGTCCATTGACAACACTGTATATAGTATTAATAAATTTTTTGTTTCTACGTAGGCACCACTCATTCGTCAGAGGTAATGCTAACTCAAATGTAATACCGTGATAATATTTTTCAGATGAATAATAAATTCTGAAGTAGTTGATTGTAAGTTAAGAATTAAGAACATTTTATTCCTTCATAATTGAATTAATTGTAATAAAGGCTTAGATGCGTAAACTTATTATTTCTAAAAAGACAAGAAAAACAATTGAAATTGACGTCTTTTATGAACTCCATGTAGCATTTCGGAATTAACCAATTAAATCATTCGGATTTTAGATTAACAGTTTCATACAGTATTAATTTTATTTGTATTTGTTTTGAGAGCGACATTTTATATTTAAGTTGAATAAATCTAGGACTGGAAAAGACTAATACTATGCAGATTATTCTAATGATTTTTTGCACATTGATTTTATAATGTTATTAATATGGGTTGCATTCTTAATCAACTTGAAAAATCATTTTTTGTAATTTATTAATTTTTAGATTTAATTTTTTTAATATCAAGGTATATATATACTATAAAACTACTAGTTTTCTATAAATTTTTTTTATACTTATAATTTTTATAATTATTAATATTAGTTCCATAAATTAAACATTTAAGCTTAACAAAGTTCTAAGTTCATGTTTCTACTATATGAACTTTTGTTGTAATTTTATTTTTGACCTCCATTTTATTAATACTATTTTAAAATTTCTCAATCACTTTTTTTTTTTTTGAAGATAGCATTCTGTTTTCTGTTTTTTCATCTCTAATAACTAAAAATAACAAAATTTTTGATATATGAAAAAAAAGGTGTGGCCGATATCCTAAGTTATACCATTTTTCTTAATATAGGTAATGATTTTAGTAATTATAAATGCTAATACCCTATAAACGCGAAATAACACTCGTGGCGTTATTTTGAAAATTTGGCCTTCTATATCGTCCCGACTAACGTACACGGACGCTCCAAATTAACACACATCGCAACATAATTTATTAGTTCAAAAATGGCATATTGGATTCAGAAAATCAACATGGGCGTATCCGAAATGGTACGCAGGTCAATTAAATAACGCGCATATGGGCGTTATTTCGCGTAGAAAATTTTTTTTTAACTTTAGTTCTTAGGTTATCGAATGATACTTTTACGTAACGATAACAGGTATAGATATTGTAAATTAGAAATGACTAAAAAGGTAAAGCTCCCGGGTAATTATTAAATATTTACCATACTTCTTACTGTCAGTGATAATAAAAATCGGCTTAGTAAGCATACACAAATCTAAATTAAGTTTCGATGTGTACTACATTTCATGAACAATAATCAATTAATTAAAATTTTATACACTTTATACTTCTGTACTTCCATCAATTCATTATTATGAATATTTCTACCGTCAGAGGTCATTTTACCTCATTTTTCGGAATACATTTTAATTTATATTTAATTCTACAATAATTTTTGTCGATTATCTTTTTTTAATAATAATACCAATGTTAAACCATGTGGCAAAGTCTTCTCGGTGGACGAGAAATATATTTATCAATCATTCAATGAGACAATTTTCGATCTCACGAACAAATCGATTTTTAAATATCATTGAAAGTGTCAGAAGAAAGGAGCACAGAAATGATTCTAATGTTGATACATCGAAAAATGCTGATACGTGGTTAATTAGAAATGCGAGAGCAATCAGGAATGTTGAAGAATTTATGCGTAAAGGTGCTTAACTTTGTTACGTCTATCGTTATAAAAAAAAAAAATTCGAATTAAAAATCACTTTTAATAATAATTTACTTATAATTAACTCTAGAAAAGCCGGCTGAAAGTTTCACGGTAATTCCACGAAATACAGTATCCGGTCTAAAAGCACCATATTGGATAGATGATTTAATCAATAAATCCAAACCGCTATATCCAAAAGATCCCTCAGAAACTTTTATAATTCCTAAACGAGAGTTAATATCGAAGAGAATGGCAGACTCTTACATTGAACAATTTATACCATTTAAAAGCGATCCAGATTTATTAGAGGATTATATTAGTTCTGAGGGTACCATTAGGTAAATGTTCATTATTAAAAATTTATAATAATAAAGAAAAGAATAATAATTATTTAAAAATATTTATTATGAAATAGTGTAGGAAAGATTTTTCGGGATCTTGATATATTGGCAAAAACAATAGCATTTAAACATTGTGAGAATGAACATGCGGTTTCCTTACCTTTAGCCATTGTTACAGCTTCTGTTGATAGGTTAGACTTAATAAAACCTATACCTATTGCTGATATTAGACTTTCTGGTATTCAATTCTATATTTTCTTTTAAACCAATATATTATATAAAGATTGAATATTACTAAAATTCATTACCATTAGGACACGTCACGTATGTGGGGTATAGTTCCGTGGAAGGTAACCTAAAGAATTAGCTATTTATATAATCATAATAATCAAAATAATTATATTAAATTTCATATAGTTTTAATTAAGATGGAATCCCTACACGAAGGTGTTCTAAAAAACATTGAACCAAAGCCAGAAGTTAACCGAGATGCTCTTTCAGAAATGTGCCAGACAATTTTGAATGCTCGGTTTACTATGGTAGCTCGGGATCCTTTTACGAGAAAATCTGCTCAGGTTAACTCATTACAATTGGAAGACGATCACCAAAAAAGGCTTTTCCATTTAGGCGAAGGTATTTAGTATTATCATTATATTATAAATAGTATTGTTATTGACGAAATTTGATTGTTTTTTTTGAAGAACAAAGGGCCCGTAGTAAAGTAGAATCAGCCTCGTCTTTAAATAAGGTGCCTCCAACTGAAGAAGAAAAAGAGCTTATTCATGAATTATTTCTTGAACACAAAAATTGTGCAGGTAAATTACACTGCTTGTGAATCAAGTTCATTAAAAAGTTATGCTAATTTTAAACATCCAATAAATAACAAGAGAAGCAAAACAACTTTGTGTGGATGGATAATACTACCATGGAGTCCGTGACGCTCATGACACCGCAGGTTTGTAAATATATTTAAAATATTAGACATATTTCTCATGCTTTCTTTTTCCTATGTATAGAACAGAAATATTCACGGATATATTTTTGGGGGATATCTTATGTTGTTGGCTTATGAGGTCTTACCTTCTTCCAAATTAATTTTTTTTTTTTTATCATTGTTTATTAGTTCATAATAATAACAAATTTAACTGACAACCTTGAAAAATTAAATAATAATAGCTTGCATTCTCAACTGCATGCGTATTTCTTCGTAGCAGACCAATATTCTTAGCCTTGGATGAAATTTCTTTTCGAAAATCAGTTCCAATCGGATCAATACTAAAAATGAGTTCTCAAATAGTTTGTTCACCAGGGCCACCACATAAAAGGTTCCAAATCGCGGTACGTGCAATTGTTTTTTTTTTAAAAAAGAAATATGGTTTCATGTTTTTAATGTTCATTACATGCAGGTCACGGCTGATGTTATAGACATTGAAAATGAAAAACGCGAAACTACAAACGTTTTTCATTTTACTTTTACCTCAAATAATTTGGTTGACGCTCGTAGAGTGATTCCAAAGACTTACGATGAAGCGTTGAAGTATATTGAAGGTAGAAGACGTAGGAATGTTGGGTTAAAACTTCGAAAATTGTACATTGAATCAATTAATAATTCCTTCTAATTAGTCAGATAGATAATAATCCCCTAATACAGTAATACATTAATACAGTACTACAGTAATTCACCTAGTTATACCATAAATTAGTAAATAAAATACAACACTTATTTATTATATTTAGACAAAACATTTTATAAAATTATATTCACAAACAATTCGGATTGATAAATTTCTTCGTTATGTTTTACAAACCAAATTTTTTAAAGCTATAAAATAACACGTGATCATTTATTACATAATCTAACTGGAAAGCCAAACTAATTGCTAAAGTGCGAAAAGAATTTTTTTTTTTTATATCTATATTATGATAAAACATCTTTATATACATACACAAAGATTTAAAATCGATCGTTATTGTAATATTCATTATCAGTGTCATCGTTTGTAAAAGTGTTGGTAGCTTCACGTTGTACCCAAATTGTAGGACCAGATCCTGAAAATGCACCACATAATGAACCGTCGCTATCCAACTTCATAGGTCTCAAATCTATTTGTGGCCTTTTTGTTTGTTGGAACCATTGGTGTCGTACAGCTGCATTCTTTCTTTTTAATTCTGGTGATGCCATTTCCTATTTCAGACCAAAAAAAAATCAATTTTTTTACCATACAATAATAATTTTATTAGATATGCAAGAATGTTTACGTACTTCGCTGGTCATGTTTGCAACATCTTCCGGTGAGATCACACCAGAAGCAACTTTTTTGACGAAATTAGGGTTATCTTTATCCTTTAAATTCCATAACTTTGAATAACAATTTCTTTTATAATCATCCTCATTTATCATTTGATCAGAATTTTGAAATATTTTATTTTCAATTCGCATAGCAATATCAAGAATATTCTGCCTCACGTCTGTTCATTTTTATGAATTTTTTTAAAGATTTAAGTATATATTTAAACTATAGGGCGTTACAAAAGGCTTACTTAGATTTGGATCAGGTTCCGTAATCGTCTTACGCAATGCATCGTAAATCAATTTTATATCTATGTAATGTGTAATATAATAAAAATGGAAAAATAAATATATAGTTTAATAAATTTTTAAGTGGACAGAGGTCATCTTAATATTTTTTTTTTTTTCTTTGCATACATTTGTTTCTACGTTCACTTCCGGTATTTATCTCTGTTGGTAAATCACCATCTGGTTTGATTCCATCGTTATCCTTTTTCGCGACTGGTTTGGATAATTTTTTACACTGTGTTATAAAGTTATGATGGATAATTATATTCTTCACGCTGAGACTTCGTTTAATGTGTCTCGGCATGTTCATAATATAATTTTTATATTTATTTTACTTTACTTTACTTTGAGAGGAAAAAACAATCTATAAAGTATTCTTTATAGTATTCTTTATAGCGTACTGATGGTTTGAAAAAAATTTCCTTTAAACGCGCTTATTTTTTTTATCTCTCTTTAAAGAAAAAAAAAAAAAAAAGAAACCTTTTTTGAAGATGCTTTTTATGTGAAATTTTGATTCTCATTAAATATTTATTTTTAAGGTGAAAAAAAATGAAGTCATTCTCTAAAATAAACTATACCGTAAACGATAAAGTTTCATCTCTAAAGCTTTTTTTTTTCTCAAAATACGCGTCATTACATTTATACACGAAATTCATCTTTGTCATATATTAAAGTAATAACCCAAAACTCGGTAATAGGTAATTTTTAGAACAACTCATAGTATTCAAATGAGTCATACAAAAAAAAAAAGAGAGAGAGAAAATGTTATTATCGTGATATTATTGCAGTAACTGGAAATTGGATATACATTATAGTAAATATTAATATGTAATTAATATGTATTGAGGTAATGAAATTTGAAAATAGCTATTAGTTGAATAATAATATTATTGCATTGATATTAAAAAAGAAAATATATTATAAAAAACAATTCATTATTTTTTAATCTTACTTTATATTTTAATTTATTACAGTTAAAGAATTACAGTTAAAGATTTGCAATAATACTATATTTGTAGCTTCTTTTGTTTTGTATTCTTTGTTTAATGCTTTCTCTTACACTGCTTTTACAGTTATCGAAACTTAAAAACATTCAGTAAGTGCAAACAAATTTGCACGTGAATGTCTTGAGGCGTACGAAAGATGATTGGTACCTATTTGATGTGCCACCAATTACATGCTAGAGGTCTGAACACTATAGCATATGGGCCAATTTTTTTGATTTCTGTAGATCCTTGTCTATCAAAACACTCAAAATTGCCTTATTTGGGTTTAATT